TAAATGTAACAAAAGTAATAAAAGTAAGAAAAGTAAGATAAATCTTACTTTTCATGTGACTAATTACTCGGGTAGGGACGGGTCCTACATGCGACGATCGATCTTATGTCAAGAAAATCCCCTATATATATCTAACGTTAACAATTGTGTCCTATGAGTAAAATTCCATTCTGAAAACTTTTACTTAGAGGTCGGAAGTTGGTTATCATAGTAAATTTTTGTGTTATTTGCGTTTTTTTTACAATTTCTTATGTTTTTCGCGTTTTGTTTTGTTACGAGAGGTCCTGTGATTTTATTGGATCCAGATATGATCGGAAGTGATCTTCAGCCCGAGATTTTCTTGAACCATATTTCTATTCGGCAATTTTTTGTACATCAGTTTCATGTAGTGATTTGAATTGGTTGGGCATAATCGGTTAACCGATCCGACCCGAATAAATTTCGGATAACCGGTTGAGCAAATTCTTAATCGATTGACCCGGTACAACCGGTTGGTAGGGTCGATAAAGTATGTAAATGGCCAAGAGAGAGCAAAGATTCCGAAAAGGTCCGGAAAGAAACTGAATTAACATAAGAGACGGGCAAGGGCGAATCAAAAATTCGAGTGAAGCTCCGAAAATTTCGAAGGTAAGAGTAGTGTTGTGACTCAAACTATTTGGGACGTCTCAAACCATGTGTCAATTAGTATCACATGGTTTCGGCAATAAGAAAAAAGCGGCCGAACCTAACACTATACTAATTATCACATGGTTGGAACGTCCTTGGGTTACATCTATAGATAAGAGAGATTATTAATCTCAACCGGTTGTTATCGGTTGACATAAAATAATTCGGTTCGGTTTACCGATTGAGGATATTTTTTTCGGTTCAAATCACTAGTTTCATGTACAGCCAATCAAATCGCGACCAATTTGTTTTCATAAAAATTAAATTTTTTTTAACCCTTTGAACTATAATAACTCGATAACTTTATAAGCAAATTTGAGGAGCTCTTTTTTATTTTAATTCTACATAACTGTAGAATTAAAATAAAAAAAAAAACCATCAAATTTGATTATAAATTGTCGAGATATTTTTGTTCAAAGTTAATAAAATTTTATTGATGTACTAATTTAATAGACGCAGATATTTTACAACTACCTAGGAAAATTTGATAACCATTTTTTATAAAAAAATTTTTTGATAGTTGTCGAGATATTATTATTCAAAGTTTATATTACTATTCTAATTTATTTTATTACTAAACTTTGAATGAAGATATCTCAGTAATTACCTAAACAAATTTGACGAACTTCTTTTTATTTTAATTTTATGATCTTGTCGAATTAAAATAAAAAAAAAGGTATCGAAATATCATAATTTAAAGTTTTAAAAAAATTTTAATTTACATCCTTTACAAAAGTTTGAAGATGTTTCGACAACTACTTAAGCAAATTCAATGAATTTATTATTATTATTATTATTATAACTTCACTGATATGTGAATTTAAACTAAAAAAAGTTCATTGAATTTGCTTAGGCAATTGCCGAGATATCTTTGTTCAAAGTTTGGTAAATATAATTTAAAACAATAATAAATTTTTTAAAGCTCTTAACTATGATATCTCAAATTCAATGAACATTTTTAAATTTAATTTTACAAATAATAAGAAAAAGCTCATAAAGTAGCTGTCTAAACATTTCCGTTCAAAGTTCGGTAAAGAATGAAAACGCCTATTGAATTAAATCTAATAAAAATTTTTTAAAAACTTTGAATGAAAATATCTTGATAACTATCCAAGCGAATTCGGTGAACTCTTTTTTATTTTAATTCTACGGGTGTGTAGAATTAAAATAAAAAAATTCATCGAATTTGCTTAGATGATTGTCGAGATATATTCGTTCAATGGTTTTAAAATTTTTAATTTTATGAAAACAATTTGTTGAAATTTCAGGCTGAGCAATTGCCGATTTCTATTAAGAAATAAAAAATTCTTGGCGACACTGGAGTTGAAATTAACCAATTGGATATAGTAATTTCAGCTTTATCTATCAACGCTGAATAAACAATGTTAAAAACATTTTATTAAAATCAAGTTAAAAATCATAGAAATCATTAAAATGCGATTTTTTACTATCCCTACGTAAAATATTACTGATGTGAAACATACAATAACGGATTTATTTTTCTTTTTTTAATAACAAAAAATATCACCGTTATACGACTTACATTTACTATTAAAAAGAATAATAAATAATAAGGAAATAAGGTATAGAGGTTTCAAATTAACTTATTTTGGAAATACGGTAAGTGAGGCTTAAAAAATTCTTATTTGTGTTCCCAACTTTCAAAAAACGAAATAGAAGTTTTTATTTTATAAAATCTAGTACTGTTTTTTGGCAAGCTAATTTTTTTTTTCACTAAATACAGCATTTATTCGACAAACGAATTTTTTTTTTTTTGAACGCGCTGAGCTGCGCCGCGCCAAGTATAGAGTACTTTTTCTATAATCGGTTGAGATTTGTAAAACATAATAAAGACTAAATTGTAAGACTTAAATTTTTAAAAAAAGAAATAAAATAACAACATAATACCAAATGCGTACGACGCTAACTAAAATAAAATTTGTAAAACATCAAATTTTCAATAAAAGCCAAACCATTTTAAAAAAAGGTTATTTTGGAATAAATTAGATAATCAGTTTATTAATTCTATTTATGATAGCAGTAGTATCATCAAAACCGTAAAGTTTAGAACCTTTATTTTGTTTTTCTGACGAGAATTTCGTTCCCAGACTTTGAAAGTTAGAAGCGCAAATAAGAATTTTTGTTCTGACTTTGAAGGTTAGAAACACATAAGAATTTCGTTTCTGACATTAAATTAGAAACATATAAGAATTTTTTTCCGCTTATTTTTAAAATAAGTTAATTCTGAAACCCCATTAGTATAGTACCAACTTCGAACGATTATTTTTAAGCGCTAACTAATTTCGTTAAATATTTATCAAGCCAATAATTTTAATATCTAACATTTATATCCAGATGTATACATCATGGTTTCTAATACTCACTTATCTAATTTTAATTCTTGTATGCACTAAAAGTGCATCTTACAATCCAGTTGGGAGAACGGAATTTGGGTCTGGACTTGTATCTAATAAAGTCTATTATTATGGTGGATATGATCATGGAGATAAAAGATATAATGACTTTTTTTATATTGACCTAACAAAACCATTTTCTAGCTCTTCTCCTCAATATCAATTCATGAAAAACTTTGATAATTATTATAGGAATGGAGCCGCTACGATTTCTCATTCGAATCAATTATTTATGTTTGGTGGTGATTTTGTTATTGGAGCTGAGATGAACACACCACTTTTTAGACTTTGCATAATTCAATCACTTTCAACGAATCCTGAAATCGTACCTGTCCCTGACACGCCTTCAACACCATCTTCAAGAAAATGGCATACTTCTGTAATTGACCATATGAACAAGAAAATATATGTTTGGGGCGGAATTACAGTAACAGGCCTTAGCATGGATTATTCATTTCTTAATTTTACTAAAAATAATGAAACCATGTATGATAGAATTATGTATATATTTGATATCACACAGTCCGTTTGGACTTCAAATCCTACACAAAATCCACCTATTGGTCGTTGCCTTCATACAGCAACTTTTGTGCCTGATGGGCGGATAATTATGATCGGCGGCGCCACCAATTCAGATGTAGGAAAGGTAAAAAATACTGTAATATCAATTATGAAAAATAAAATTTTGGTTAACTAGAATTGAATTTGTCAATCATAATTGATTTTCATAAATTAATTACTGTAATATCTTACTAATTAAAGAATTCCTACTTGCATAATGTTTAAAGCTTGATGTATATAACACTAAAACCGATCAATGGTCAAATATTGTGCGTTTATGGGTCAATTCATCTTTATAAATGCTTGTTATAATAAAATAACAATTTCTAACAAACATACATTTTATTTACAGACAGCAAAAAAGAATGGTTTCATTCCCTCAATTATTCATCATTCGGCAACTCTTTTACCTGACAATAAGAGTATAATAATATATGGAGGTAGCAACGAAAGTGGATATTCTGGTCTAGCAATCCTAAATCTCTCAAGCTATGCGTGGACAGTTATTTCACCAACTGGAAACGCACCACCCATAATTTCAAGTGGTCACGAAGCTACACTTTATTTTGACGTTATAATTTTTTCATTTGGTGAGTAAGCTTATTTCCATATAAATATTCGAACTATATATTTACCATATTTCATTTTTGAATCTACCTAGGAGAATACTTTCTTAGTAATAATACTCGTCATTTGATACATCCTGCAATAAGGCTTCTCAACATTTCAAATGGCCAATATAGATGGGTTGATTCATACACACCACCTCCAATTGCTACTCAATCTTTAAACTCAAATAACTCAAATAAAATTATTATTATTGGATTTCTTATTGGTGGGATTATAGGTTTAATAACATTATTACTTTGGTATATTCTTTACAAAAAAAGGCGAATGGGATATGTAATTATTTACGAACAATAAGCATTATTTAGTTTATTATAATATTTCGATACTATTTTTCAAAAGGTTATTTGGATGAGATTCACCTTCAACTTATTCGGTCAATAATTCGAATTTAAATTTGAATTCGATTAACATTAGTGAATTCGGATCAGATTATGAGAGCCCCGGTAACTACATATGGGGGTACCCACAGCAAAAGGTAGCTTTGGGCCAGCCAATCAGATTTTAAGGTTTTATATATAACTAATTAACTAATGAATATCTTTATCGTTATAAAAACAAAATTTGGTTGCTAAATGTATTACAGTTTTAACAAAAAAATGTATAATTAGTTTTATAATATTATACGTATAAGTGATTCATATACCAAATTTGGGGGTGTCTAAAGCGGATGCAAATCCCGTGATTATGTGCCAATCAAATTATAGAATTTTGATGATCGCCGGCGAAGCACTACGAGAACATGGGAGGGGAATTTTAAACAAACACTTATAGTCCCAAGATTATTTGATCCAATCTCATTGGCCAACATTAATCACATGATTAATGAAGTTTATGCTGCGTCGTGATTGGCTTGTTTAATTTTCGTGGGGAGCAGTTAAGCGAGAGGGGATGACGTTACCTAATAATTAACTAAAAACGGCCTTAATATCATGTTGTATTCGTATTTTTTTTTTTTTTTCAATTTGTCACAATTATAGATTCGTTTATGATCACAATCTTTGTTCAGTATCGTCTGGCAACCTAGTTGTTCGAGAAATCACAATAAACGGATGGGCGAGCATGGAAGTTTGGGTGTTCGATATACTATGCAAATCAAAATAATATATGATCATATAAAAATTCAATGTCAAAAATTTTTATGAACAATGTTGATTTTCATATGAACTTCGAAACCTTTAATTAGATATACAGCCTTTACAACCAAAAATCAGGAATCCAAATTTCGGTAGTATATCGAACACCCATGCGTCATATGTCATGTAATAATCAAATAATAATTCGGGGTAGGGGCCTGCAAATTGCCTATTTTTAAGGCCCGGCCCGGCCCGCAATTAGGGTTAAAAATTTTTTTTAGGCCCG